TTTCTCCCGGCCCCATCCTCCCAACCCGATAGCTGTCGTCCTGGCTTCTCCATGGCGCGCCCCCCAGAGCTCTGGACCCCTTCCCCAGGACTGGCTCTTCACCCTGAGTCGTTGTCGGACCGCCCCGAGGCCTGGCGAGGGCCCCCCGAGGCTGAAGATATAGCGAAACACCTCCCTTCGTGATTTTCTCACGACGCGACCCTGAGATCCGACGTGGCAAAAGCATTGCGACATCGCAGAAAATGGCCACCGGAGCCACATACCCGATCTTTCTGCGACATTTTTCGAGCCAAATCGATATGTGAGGGTCCCAGGGCCCGAAATGGAGCGAGAACGCCCGTTGTAAAACAATTGCATCGCCAGGATCTCAGGGGAGGCTGACAATATGGCGAAACACCTCCCGCGGTGATTTTTTCACGACGCGGGGGGGTCTGTTGAGCAGGGACCGACCGTCCCGGCAATCCTGTAAGCCTGCCGCGAAATGTTCTAAGAACCCCCCACATGTGCCAACAGCAATAACAAGGTTCTCAGAACAGAAGCCCGATGAATCACCCAACGCAAGACGGTCCTCAGCCAGACGTGTTCCAAGCACATCTCGTGCAGACCACAAAACGGTCCTTAGAACACTCCCTGGTGGGCCCCTGTAGGCCAGCCAGCACGCCCCGCCACTGCTCGAGCCTGGGCCCCCCCCCGCGCCGCCGCGCGCGCGAGCGCGCCCGCGCGGCGGCCCGCGCGGCGGGGCTGCGGCGCCCTGCCCGCTCGAAGGGGCGGCCCCTGGGCCGACCACGAGGCCGGGCGCGGGGCCCAAAAGGCTGCGGGCTTTGCTGGGCAAATGTTCCACCACCACTACCATATGTAGGACGGGGGAGGAGAAGGGAAGATGGAGAGGTCCTCCTCCCTCCTCCTCCTCCCCTCCTCCTCCTCCTCCTCCTCCTCCTCCTCCTCCTCCTCCTCCCCGTCGCCGGCCTGCCCTCCCTCTCCCCGCCACCATACTTACCCGGACCCCCCCTCGAGTCATGAACAATAATCGCGACGGCAAGCTTTTCGCCATCTTTTCGGCCTGTGGGGGCCCTTGCGGGCCCTCGGGACCATCACGAAACGACTCAGGATGAGAAGCCGGTCTCGGGAACTGTGTCTGGATTTCTGGGGGTCCCGTGATGACAAAAAATCGCAACGTCGGGGGTCTTGGTACCCCCCTCCTCCCCTCCCTCCGCTTCCCTTCCCTCGCCCCTCCCCCCCCCCCCGCCTCCTCGTCCTCCTCCCTGCCCCGTCAGTCCCCCCTCCTCCCTCAGCCGTTCGTCTCGGGACAGGGGACAACCCAGGCTGATACGGCAAAATTCGGAATGGCCATGTCGTTCTGAGCCAAACATGGCACTTGGGCGAACGTCTCCCTCGTCGCCCGCCTCCCCTCCCTCCCCGCCCCATGCCCCTCGCCTCTTCTAGTCCTTGGACCTCCTGCCCCGGCGCCAGAAGGAACTTTCAGTGCAGGCTACTGTTCTGCCAGCTGCGTGCCACCTTTCGCTGGCAGGCTTCATGCATGCTCCATCCGCCTCGCAATCCAAAATCCCCATCGTTCGTCCCGCGGCTTGAAGCGTGCCCGTCTGTGGAAAGGACCATGCACTGGAAGAGGGACAAAGGCGTGGGACGGGGCGGAAGAGGGTAAGCGTGCGTGGGAGGAACCATGCACCGGAAGAGGGGACAGGCGAGGAAAGAGGGAAAAGGAAGAGATCTGCGTCCAGCCCTCCTTCCCTCCCTCCGTTTCCCCTCCCCTCCCCGCCCCGCCTCCTCCCCAGACCCCCGACGTCATGCTTTTCTCGTGACGCGACCGCCAGAGGTCTGGACCCGTTCCCCCAGGTCATCCTGAAAATCATGTCTTGACAGCCCCGAGGCCCGGTGAGGGCCCCCACAAGGGCCGGACATAGCGAGAAACCTTCCGTCGTGATTTCTTCACGTCCTCCTCCCTGCCCCCTCGTGATAGGTCGGGCGTGTCCCCCTTCAGGGGGATTTTCCGCGAAAAGTTGAACACAGTCAAAAAACAGTCTAAAAATAGCACATATACAGATATATATATATATATATATACATATATATATATATACACAGAAAAACCGTCCCCAGACTATTTTGTGAATATCTTTGAATATTCCTCGTGTGCAGGGACAGGCCCGACTCAACCTTCGTGCCCCCCTCTTCCCTCCTGGTCCCCCTGTGCCTCCGCCAGGGGCAGGGGCCCCGTGGACGCCCGCACCGTCCTGGCAGACCCGGCCGCCGCCTTCGCCGCCTTCGTCGTCGTCGTCGTCGTCGTCGTCGTCGTCGTCGTCGTCGTCGTCGTCGTCGTCGTCGTTGTGGTCGTCGTCGTCGTCGTCGTCGTCGTCGTCGTCGTCGTCGTCGTCGTCGTCGTTGGGGTCGTCTGCGTCGGCGTCCCGTCACATGCTGCTCAGAATCGAGGCCCGGACCTGCGTCGGGGTCCGAAGCCCAGACCCCCACCCCCCCTTTCCTGAGCCGCGCGCCCAGCCGCGGCGACGGGGATCTCCAGAAATAATGCGCAATGAACCGCGAGACGACGGCGGCGACGACGACGGCGGATGCTTTCGAACACATCGTGGTCGACGCGATCCTCGTCGTCGCCGCTGGAGGTGGAGGAGGGAGGAGGAAGGAGGCAGGAGGAGGACCAGGCGTAATTACCCCCAGGCGACGCACAGCCGGACCTAGGATAGAAGAACATCCCTCAAGAGCATGAGACCCCCCGCCAGCCAAAACGCACACAGAACACCCGAGGCCACCCTCCCCAGGACACACGAGAACATCCAACAAAGCACGAAGAACATGACCCAGACCCCCGACGTCAAGATATCTTCATGACGCGACCCCAAAAGGTCCGGACGCTTTCCCCGGGACCGGCTTTTCATCCCGAGTCGTTGATTGACGGCCCCGAGGGCCGGTAAGGGCCCCCAGAGGCCGAACATGTAGCAAAACACCTCCCGTCGCGATCCTTTTGTCGCGACTCTAGGGGGTTTGGGCAGGTGACCCATCTCCCCAAGCCCACCTCGATCTTCTATGCCTCAGTCCGCCCGCACCCCCAACGAGGCGCCCCGGGAAACACGGCTCTCCCGCCACGGCGCGCTCCGAGGACCTGTCACTGCACCGACCTTGCAGACGTGCTGCAGCGGATTGTTGCGTGGATTCCTGCCAATGCAAACCCCCGAAACGGCGCGTGAAGAACGACGTGAATTTCGCGTGGATGTTCGTTCAGTCTTCATCTCTGGCCAGACAAGCACCCGCACGTTAATCTCACCTAGAAAGCTGGAACGACATTCTCCAGGGCACCCTGGGCCCATCCTGTCGTTCTCCGCACGAAATCCACTCTGCGATGTTGGCGCCCCGAAGACCTGCCCTCCACGGATGCCCAGGATCGGGGGCGCGCAAACATGGATTAGCGATCCATGGACTTGGCGCGCCGTCGCCAACTCCATGGCTCGGGGGAGGTGCCCTCCCCCACAATGCGGCCGGTGCCGCCTCGCTCGGCGGCGACAGTCCGCGATGTCCCATGGACACGGGACCCGTCGCTAGTCCACGCCCCATTGATCCATGTTTGCGACCGCCTGACAAACGATCTGCCCAAAGAAAGGAACCGATCGGCAACATCAACAGCATCATCATCATATCAACATCCACATAAACATCCACATCCGCATCCACATCATCCGTCTCCGCTCGGGGGCGGCCAAGAGGGGGGCGTCTCGGAGGTGGACAAACCTCCATTTAGTAAACCTCCCTTTAGTGAAAACGGCCTAGGACCGAACCGACGGACCTGGACCAGCAAAGACGACGGCCGCGACACCCTCTCGCGAACCGAAAACGGCTAATTCCTCAATCGACGTGTCCGGGTAGGAGGTCTGTCCACCTCCGAGCGTCCAAGAGGGGGGATCCATGTTTGCGATCGCCTGACAAGAGGCGGGCCCCACGCCCCCCGCCAACGGGCTGTCTCCTGCGCGCCTCCTCCGAGTCGCGCCCGGCCTTCCCAGATGTCCCCGACTTCGGGTCCGCCGTACTTGGGTTGGTTTCGCAAGTAGGGCGGAAATTTCCGCCCTGCTTGCTAGGCTCCTTCGATGCCGATTTCCGCCCTACTTTGCCGTCGCTATTTTCGCCACACCTCTGCAGAAGCATCCGCGCTTTCTCTCTCTCTCTCTCTCTCTCTCTCTCCCCGAGGTGGGCATTTCCGCCATACTGTTTCGCACTGTTTGCTGTGCCTTTCCGACACAATTCCGAGTCGGAAAGTCAACCAAAGGGATCCGAAGTCAGGGGTGGCACATCGCTCGGCCGCCCCTCCCCCCGCGCCTTTTCGGGTGGCTTCGTGCGCCCCTGCCCAGACCCCCTCGCACCGTGAGAAACTCGCGACGGGAGGTGTTCTGCTCTATGTCTTCGGCCTCTGAGGCATAGGAGATCGAGGTGGGCTCTGGGAGATGGGTCCCCTGTACCCAGGCCCCCTCGAGTCGCGACAAAAAAAATGGCGACGGGAGGTGTTTTGCTCCATGTTCGGCCTGTGGGGGCCCTTACCGGCCCTCGGGGCCGTCAATCAACGACTCGAGATGAAAAGCCGGTCCCGGGGAAAGGGTCCGGACCTCTGGGGGTCGAGTCATGGAACAAATCACGACTTCGGGGGTCTGGATCGTGCGCTTCTCATTCGCAAGATGATCCAGGATGCTCCTCGATGGTCCCCGCCGAAGAAAAAATGCACACGTCCGAGCGGTGCCAAGTCCCTGGGAAGTGGAGGAGCAGGATGTGGAGAAGGGGCCTGGCCACAGAGGGGAAGCCAAGGGCGCGATGCCAGAGGCGCCAGTGCGGGACGCGGAGAATCCGGAGCAAGGGAAGCCACACTGAGGGAAACAAGATCGGGGAGACCAGAGCGGAGGAAGGGATCTTGAAGGCCATTCCTGACGAGGCTCCGATCACATGCACGGCTCCCCATCAAATCCGCGATCGGCGCCGCGGGGGGAGGCTTAATACTCGGACTCGCCAATGCCGCCGAAGAGCTGGGGCTCCTGGCTCTTCTCCTCCTGCTTCGGCGCCGGCTGCGGCACCGCCGCCGGCTCTGGCGCGGCTGGCTTGTTGAACCTTCCCCAGCGCTGGGACGCGGTTTCGGAGGAGACCGGCTCCGGCTCCGGCGTCGGCGGCTTGATCACCGCTGGCTCCGCCATGGCCATCGGCACCGCTCTTTCTCCGGCCATTCTCCCCAATGCGGCCTCCTTAGCAGCCTTTTCGTCCCGCTCGTTGGCCTGCTCAGCGGAAAGCTTCGCTTTCTTCAGCATCAGCTGGCCGGTGGCCCTGTCCACTATGGAAGCGATGTCCAGCCAGCCGGTCTGCCAAGGGATTCCCTTCAGCAAGTGGGTTTTCTGGTCAAACTGCATCCCTCTGACCTTCATCCTCTGGGTGCCATGCTGCACTACCTCGATGGTGTTGGGCCACCCGTTGACCTTGCTCGCGTTGATGAAAAATAGGCGGTCCCATCCAAAATCATTTCTCCACAGCGCAATGCCGGCCATGAGATCCCACATGCTACCGATGGGGAAGTCAGACTTCACCTGCTCGTACATCGCCCGGGACTCCTGCACCTTGGCCTGCTCCTCCTTTTTCTTCTGCTCCCATCTCTCATGCCTTGCCTTGGCCTCCGCCTGCATTCGCTTGGCCGTCTCGGGGTCCACCGGGGTGCCATCCGGCTTGAGGGGCACTCCGGGCACAGCCTTCGCCGCGTCTGGCTTCACCGGCGGTATGACCAACTTCGGCGCGGCGGGCTTAGGCTCCGCGCCTTCTTCCGGGATGTTGGCAGCCCTCAAGGCAGCTATGAAGTCCTCTTTCTCGAAGCAGCCAGCAGTCTTGACACCGTGGTACTGCGCCAGCTTCTTCAACTTCGCGCCCGACATCGAGGCGAAGCCGGTGGCGGCGGCCGCGGCTGGGGTGGCCGCGGCGGCGGCTGGCTGGGCTGTGCTCGCGGTCACCGCCGGCTGCGAAGCCCCTTCGGCGACGCTGTCGGCGGGGACCCGTATATGGCCCTTGAGCAACTTGGTGGGGTGGTTCTCCTCGTTGCACTTGTCGCACAGGAAGACCTTGCAATTCACGCAGTGCACAGTGGCAGCATCAGGTGGCCTCTTGTCGCAGGCGTCGCACTTGACAGCATCCTTCTTCACGAACACCTTGGACGGCAGAGCCTGCCGGGGGTCGAAGAAGGGCGGTGGCCGGATGGCGCCCATGCCCACGCCAGGCATTCCGGCCTTCCCGGCTGGTGCCAGCGTGGGCTCCACCTTCGCCCTTTTCGGCGGCGGCGCGCCCGCTCCTCCGAAGAGAGGGTCCAGTAGCGTCTTCTCGAGCTCCAGCTTCTTCTGCAGCCTCTCCTTGGTGGTGCTGGCCAGGGCCATCACGGCCGCGATGCTCAGTCCGTCTTGTGGCAGCACCCCCTGGTCCACCACCAGCGCCTCGAACTCGCAGCACCAGGCTTCGTCGTCGCAGCTGCAGCCGACTGACGTCTTGAGCTTGAGCAGGTCGTCTGTCTTGAGCGATCCGTCCTTCTCGCAAAGCATCACCTTGCTCTCGAATTCACCGCGCTCGCCGCCGTCCTTCGGCACGCCGCCGTCTGCACTGCTGCCGTCGCCAGCGGCCTTGGCGTTCATGGCATCGTCCAGGTTGTCCTGCTTCGTGCCATCCTCCTGCACGCCCGCCCGCTCCAGAGCATCCACGATGTGAGACTTCTCGAGACACCCGTCGAGACTCACGTCGTGCTGCTTGGCAAAGGCCTTGAGCTTGGAGACGGGCAACTTGTCCATGGGCAGCGCTCTTGGGCCGGACAGGCCCTTGAGCCAAATGGCCTCGGGGAGGAGGCGGAGGAAGAGGAGGAGCAGCAGGAATACGAGGAGGAGCAGCAGGAAGAGGAGGAGCAGCAGGAAGAGCAGCAGCAGCAGGAGGCGACGAACGCGGCGCCCGCAAAGTGGTGCTGCTCGCATCGCTCCCAGTGGCGCTTGTGGCCTCCGGGGACCAGCCTCTCGGGCGGTGGGTGGCGGCGCCGCCGCCGCCGCCGGCGCCGCGGCTGGAGGCGCTGCGCGTGCTGGCGTCTGGTGGGGAGCTCGCCTAGGCGCTACTGGGCGCTCTCTCGAGCACTGCCTCGATGTCCCTCCGCTGCTGCTCGTCGACTTCGCAGCGGACGATGGCGATCGCGCTGAGGAGGAGTCCCTGGTGACCACACTCGTCCACTGCGTCTGAGATCTTGGAGGCGACTGTGATCTTTCCAGTCTTCGCCTCCTCGCTGACGTCAACTCCGTCGGCTAGTACGTACACGTCGTCATCGTCTGACGTATTCGCCACGCTGGTTCCATTCGAGAAGCCCGACCGCGGCTGCGAGGTGTCGAGCGGCAGCTGGCCCAATTCTGCGGCCCGCCTGCAAGGGTTCTTGCCTGGTCTCACGCTCTCCCCGATGGTCTTTCCGTTCACCTTGAGGAACTCGATCTGCTCATCGGTGCCCATGTCGTCGTCGAAGTCCGTCTGGCTGATCTTCATGGTGAGCTTGCACGTCCTGTTCAGCATGCTCTCCCCGACCTCCAGCGTCGCCTCGGCCGCGCAACCAGGCTGCGCGCATCCGAAGTGCGCGGAGAAGTTCTGGGCCTGGAACAGCTTCGCCAACGTCTCGTTGAACTTCGCCATGGTTTCGTTGATCTTCGCCAGATCGACCTGGGCTGGATGCCACTCCAAGCGCTTACGCACGAGGCACGACACGGTGGCCTCGCCATCTAGCAGATTGCCGTTTCTTGGGAATTCGTCCACCATGCTGCTCAGCTTCCCCTCTACGAACAGCTGGCCGTCGTCCTTGATGATACTGTCCACGTCCAGCTCGTTTACACATGGGTACCACGCGTTCTGCGCCTCCTCGGTGTTGCCCGACGCCATAGGGTTGCAGTTCACCCCTACGGTCTCCCCATTCGCCTTGAAGAATTCGACCCGCTCCTTGCTGTTGTACTCGTCGTCGAAATCGGTGGCGTGGACGGCGATGCTGAGCTGGCACAGCCTGCGCTGCTCCTCCGAGTGGTTGAACAGCCGCGGGAAGGTCGCGTTGGCCACGCAGCCGACCGAGCCGCACGTCAAATTTACCCTCTCGGTGCGCCGCTCCCACTCGACGTAGCGCCGCTGCGAATGCGGCGAGGGCTCCCTGTTCCGTCCGAAAGCATCGTACTCGCCAACAGCCGTATCGAACCACATGGGCCCCTTGCTCTCCTTCGCCTGCGGCGGGTGGAGGGCCCCCTACTCCTTTTGTTCGTCCTGCTCGTCCTCTTTTTTGGCTACACGCAAGAATGACCCTGGGTTAGAGCGACCTTCGGTGAGCGGCTTTTGGGGGGGCGCGGGTAAACTCATTACCAGCGCGCAAGACTCTAACGTCGCATCACATTCGGCGATCGGGGGTCCCCAATAAGCCCGCACCAAAGGTCACTCCGGCGAAGGGCCACTCTTACGTATAGTCGACCATTCCCCTTCCTCCTGCGTCTGCTGCTGCTCCTCCTCCTTCCTCCTTTGCCACTGCTGCTGCTCCTTCCCCGTATCGTGCTCCACTTCCTCCCCTTGCTCCTCCTCCCGGTCGTCTTCCTGCTGCTGCTGCTGCTGCTGCTGCTGCTGCTGCTGCTGCTGCTGCTGCTGCTGCTCTCCCCGCCATCCCCCAGGACTTCCTCTCCCGCTCATCCGTCTTCTCTTCATCCTCCCTGATCCCCTCCCCCTCCTCCTCGCCCTCCTCCTTTTTCCCAACCAGCATGTGGTGTTGGGTCCTCGTTATGAAGACACAGGGCCCCGCGTTCCTTCTCCTCCTCCTCCTCCTCCTCCTTCTTCTCCCCCTCCTCTCTACCAAGTTGGCACACCCCATCACACACTTCGTGACCCCATAGGGTGCTCCACCGAAGGCCCAAGTGGCTGTGACCACATGCGCCCCCGCCACCAATGTCGGCACACCCCTCACACGTTTCGTGGCTCCATAGGGAGCTCCACCGTAGGAACCGATAGCTGTGACCACACGTGTCCCCGCCGCCCATTTCGGCACACCATAGCGTCATAGGGAGCTCCACCGAAGGCTCCAATGCCTGTGACCACATGCGTCCCCGCCACTCATTTCGGCACACCCCTCAGACGTCTCGCGGTCCCATAGGAAGCTCCACCGAAGGCCCCAATGGCTGTGACCACATGCGTCCCCGCCACCCGTGTCGGCACACCGCTCACACGTTTCGTGACCCCATAGGCTGCTCCACCGAAGGCCCAAGTGGCTGTGACCACATGCGCCCCCGCCACCAATGTCGGCACACCCCTCACACGTTTCGTGGCTCCATAGGGAGCTCCACCGAAGGCCCCGATAGCTGTGACCACACGTGTCCCCGCCGCCCATTTCGGCACACCATGGCGTCATAGGGAGCTCCACCGAAGGCTCCAATGCCTGTGACCACATGCGTCCCCGCCACTCATTTCGGCACACCCCTCAGACGTCTCGCGGTCCCATAGGAGGCTCCACCGAAGGCCCCAATGGCTGTGACCACATGCGTCCCCGCCACCCGTGTCGGCACACCGCTCACACGTTTCGTGACCCCATAGGGTGCTCCACCGAAGGCCCAAGTGGCTGTGACCACATGCGCCCCCGCCACCCATGACGGCACACCTCTCGCACGTTTCGTGGCTCCATACGGGGCTCCACCAGAGGCCCCAATGGGTGTGACCACATGCGTCCCCATCACCCATGTCGGCACACCCCTCCCTATAAGGAGCCCCACCGAAGGCCCCGGTGGCTATGACGACATGCGTCCCCGCCACCCATTCCGGCTCATGACTCACAAGTTTCGGAGCCCCATAGGGAGCTCCACCGAAGGCCCTAATGGCTGTGACCACATGCGTCCCCGCCACCGATTTAGGTACACCCCGCAAACGCTTCGTCGCCCCATTGGGAGCTCCACCGAAAGCTCCAATGCCTGTGACCACATGCGTCCCGGCCACCCATGTCGGCACACCCCTCACACGTTTGTGGCCCGCCCCATGGGGAGCTCCACCGAAGGCCCCAGTGGCTGTGACCACATGCGTCCCCGTTACAGACACACGTTTCGGGGCCCCATAGGGAGCTCCACCGAAGAGGATCCGCACCACTGCGGTACTCACACATGCATATGGTTGGGTCCTTCGCCATGATAATTCTGCAAGTTGGGCAAATGCTTTACTGCAGGTCCGTGCCGTGTCGACCCTGGTGTTGGTTCCTGACACCGCGCTGGATCGTTCAACCTTGAACGATCGGCCGTCTCCGCAACGTCCGATCGTTCAACATCGACCGATTCTGGGCCGCCGCCGGCGTTCAACCTTGAACGCCGCTGGCGGGGTCGCCGCCGGTCGACACGACGCGAACCTACCGTAGCAACACTGCCTGTAGCGTTTTCCGCATCCACCTCCTCCTCTTCCTCCTCCTCCCCCCTTTCTCCTCCAGGATCGCACCACAAACCGCCGACATGACGGGGAGACACCAGAAGACCGCACAAGAACGCCGAGAACAGCCTGCGTCCAGTGGAAGGCCTGCTCCGCGGCGCTGTACGTGCCGAACTCCTCTGGCGGCGCGGCGACAGGGGGGGGGGCCTACCGAGAAGGTAGACGAGGCCAGGACTGGGACAAACACGGACTGGGACATGGGACGCAGAAGGACATGCTACAAGCCTCGTCAAACATAGATTGAAACGCTGTTCAAAATCGAAACGCTCGATAGTTCGGGCACGTGTCAGAAAACGCGTTCTTCAATGCTGTGAGGGTACTGCCGGATTTTGGACACCCCTGCGTCTGGGCCGAATACCTCAAGCCAACATTGAAATAGCGCCCACCACGCAAACACCGAAAACAACAACCGTGAACCTATGTTTGACGAGTCTTGTAGTACTACGTGTCTTCCTCGGAGGCGTGCGTCCGACCCGAACACATAGTAGAACCTTTTTTTAGTATATCGCTTCCCGAGCGGTATGGCAAGACAGCGTCCGCCACAAAGTATATACCATAAGACTTCTTGGTGCGCGCGTCGCCACTGGGGGGGGGGGGGGGGCGACGCGCACATAGTATCAGGATGTTGGGGTGCCGCCGAGAACAGATCGGGGGTCTCTGAGATTCAGCGGCGCTGGAAGATATGTCGGGTCCCACGGCCGTTCCAGAACGCTCTGAGAGCGCTCCGGAACGCTCCGGACTGATTTATCCTGGTCCTATAGCCCCTCCGTGCGAAGGCAAATTGGTTGCTTCTTAGACTTTGCGGCTAGCCAGAGGGGGGGTTAGTGACAGGGGGCAGACCTGGCGCGCGGAGCGCGCCAAGGCCGGCGCCGGAGGCGCCGCCGGGGGGGCCCAGACGCGGATCCAAGAAACCCGTGCAGAGCGCAACGAAAACAATTGGTATGTTTTGCTTCTTCTTCGAAAAACGCTTTCATCTTCCGGGGGCGCATTTGTTATTTCCGCCCGCTTCCGCCGAGCTTCCGCCAGCGGAGGCGGCCTCGTTTTACTTCCGCCGACCTTTCGCCACCGTCCGCCGCGGAGGAGATGACAACTCCTTCGACCCTCGGAGGCAAGGCCCTCTTTTTGGGGCGCCCCGTATGTCAGCATCGAGTCGGGAAATCGAGCCAGCCTCGAACTTATCCCTATTCCTGAGATCGGCAGTTCCAGGGCGATGAGAACCTTGGGGAGGTACCCTCAGAAACCGAGGGAACCCTCAAGATCGTCGCCGAGGTTAGCTGATGCCAGACATGGGAATCGGGATATGTCTAGGGGGACGAACAATGGCATGAACACAAAACTCGGAGGTCCGCGCGGACTTCTCGGATCGGCGCTGGGCCCCCCGCCCCTGGCGCGCTCCGCGGGGACCTCTCCGAGTGGTTATGTTTATATGCCATTGCTCGTTCCCCTGGTGTTCCAAGCTGGTAAACATCGGACAGGATCGACATGTGCATGTGCTAGCGTCCAAAACCCGGATAGCAAAGAGGCACGTGTGGGGGCGCGGCCTCACGCACGCGGTTCAGCGTGCGTGGCGTGGAGACGCTGGAAACCTCGCGTGACGGAGCTCTGGAGACGCTGGAAAGCTTCCCTGAGAAGCTCTGAATACTCTGGAAAGCCTTCCTGGAGAGCTCTGGGGAGCTCTCCTGAAGCGCTTCTGCAGCGCTGCCAGCGACGCTTCCGCGCGTGCCTGCACGCGTGCAGGCACGCGTGGACGCGTCGCTGGCAGCGCTCCCGGACACGCTGCGAGCTCCGGCAAGCCTCTGCGGGGATCGTGGACCGGCGGAGGTGGGCGTGTCCCCCTCCGCTTCTCTCCAAGGCTTCTTCTCTGAAGCCCTCAGCTCTCCAAGGAGCTATCCGGGAATTGCGCATGTTGCTCTCATCGTACTCAAGGACCCCATCCTAGAGATATGCTTGAGCACCCAGGAGAGTGTCGAAACAGTGCTGCACGAGCATCGCCTCCCAGAGCCAACTCCCCAGTTTCGGTACTCTCCTGGTGCTCGCACTTCTTTCTGGTGATCAAGGCTGAAGTAGGTTGGAACATCATAACATAAATCCCACCCTGAGACCCCAGGACGTCCATTGATTGTTGGTGTGGGGACGTCACGCTTCCCACAGCAAACCATCTAAACCGAAGACACCCATGGTACACTGGAGGTAAGTAGGGTGTTTCTTGGCAATGGCCTCCACTGTAACCCAAGATGGTCTTTAGAATCTAGAGCCCCCCCCAAACAAGTGGAACTAATTATTTGTTCGGCAGCCTTATTGACGGACTGGAGTCGCACCAATAGAGGGAAACACATTATTTTTCTCCGCAGAAAGATCAGGGGGGTCGAACTAGAACGGGCAACTTTGACCTTTTGGTGCGCGGCTTTTTGGGGGCCGCGGGGGGACCAACACACGAGCGCGCAAGACGCAGCTACCGCTTCGCGCTCGGCGATCGGGCGACCCCAATGGGCGCGCACCAAAGGTCACTCCGGCGAAGGGCTACTCTTACGCGTATCTGGACGCCCGAAATGGGTACTGAAATAATGGGCACAATGCCCCAACAGCAAGTGTTGTCCAACACCGACCGCGGCAGCTGTTGGGCAGGCGGCCTTGTGCCGCGGCGACGCCGACAGCGAGTCCAGCTCAAAATTTTCAGGAACTGCTATTAAGTCGTTGCACCCATTCTTTCCGTACCCGTTCCGATCGTCCCGAGCGTAATTAGTCGCGGAGTGGACCCCAGCGGGCGCGCACCAGAGGTCACTCCGGCGAAGGGTCACTCTTCCCAAATCCCCGACGTTGTGATCGATGTTCGTTTCACGACGCGACCCCCAGATCGGGGATGGACAGACCCCCCTTTAGTAAAACGTGGTTTAGTGAAAACGACTTCGGGCCCAAACCTGGCTGGCGCAAGCCTGGAAAATAAGGGCCACGGCGCCCTCTCAAAAACCGAAAACGGACAATTCACTAATCGACGTGTCACTGTTGGGGGTTGTGTCCACCCCCGACCAGAGGTCTGGACCCCTTCCCCGGGATCAGCTTCTCATCCCGCGGCCGTCTTCTGACGCCCCCGGGGCCCGGCCAGGGCCCCCAGGAGGGCGAACATGGCGAAGCACCTCCCGCCGTGACTTCCTCGTGCCTCGAGGGGCTCTCGGTGCCCCCCCCCCCCCGGGCTCGCCGCCGACAGACGGGTAGGAAGGCACCAACTATACACCAACACCGATCCTGGCCAGGATCACGCTGGGCCCAGGATCGGTGTATATGCCCTCCTGCCTTGGGCAAGAAGGCATATACACCGATCATGGGCCCAGGGTGATCCTGGGCCAGGATCGGTGTTGGTGTATAGTTGGTGCCCTCCGAACGGGGCCGGCGCCCTGCCGGGAGGCCTCCGAGGAGGCCCGCCCTCGGGCGAGGCGGCGGGTCCACCGACCGGGGCAGGGCGTGCCTGCTCGGAGGGGCCGCCGCCCGTGCTGGCGCTCGCGGGCCTGCGCTGCCAGAGGGGTGGCCCGCCTCCGTCGGGCAGCTCCCCCCCCTAGGGAGCCCACAAAGGACGTACGCGCCCAGCTATGTACATGAACGCGGCCCCTTGGCCCGCGAAACCTGCCGCGCGATACGAACATTCGCTCAATGCGAACTCTCGAAACCAGCGTGGATTCATGTACATGTACGTCCTTCTTTCGCTCCTGACCCCCCCCCGCAAACACCTTCGCGCTGGTTTCTCCCCATCTGCACGCCCAGGGGGCCCTCACAGAGCCTCGGGACCGTCAGAAAACTGCTCAGGATGAGAAGCTGGTCCCGGGGACGGGGTCCGGACCTCTGGGGGTCGGGCCCTGAAAAACCATGACGTGGGGGGTCTGGGCCCCCCCCCGTTGAGGGGCAGCCCTCCCCGCGCCTCCCCTCCTCCTCCCCCCCGTCCCGCCTCCCTCCTCCGTCCCTCCCTCCTCCCCGTTGCCATTTTGGCTTGAGCTCCGAGCGCTGCTCCCGCGCCTGGCGCTTGAAGCGCAGCCGAGGGGGCGGTTCAAGGCCCCCCGTGCACGCAGGTGTGCGCCGCTGCTGCCCACACCCATTCCACGTTCGCGCATTCCCTCACCCTCGTGACCTCTTGGAAGCGTCGCGCCAAGTCGTACATCTTGGTTCGCGTCGTGTCGACCCAGGCGTTGGTTCCTGACAGCGCGGGGATCGTTCAACCTTGAACGATCGGCCATTTCCGAAACAACAGCTCGTTCAGAATCGACCGATTCAGGGTCGCCGGCGGCGTTCAAAAATGAACGCAAGCGGCGGGGTCGCCGCCGGTCGACACGACGCGAACCTGCCGTACATCTTGTGCCCTTGTGACGGCTGCCCAAGTTGGACCTGGGCCAGCCGCAAGAAGGCCTTCTGCAGCCTCTGCGGCACCCAGCAGCCGCTGGCAGAGAAGGCACGGGTCGGCTGGACTGGCTGGGACTCCCAGCTGAAGGGCAAGGGCAAGAAGGGTACGGGCAAGGACGTAAAGGGCCAGGGTGGAATTCGGAATGGCAGTGATGGAGGAGGAGGCGGTGGAGCAGGAGCAGTCGACGGGAACGGAGGTGGTGCACCCCCTTGGTCACGTAACTAGATCCCTGTCTCGCAGCCTCAGCAATCAGATGCCGCTACCAATTGACGTGTTGATGGCCCAGAATCTTGTGAAGTTCTTTAAGGGGTGGAGAGTTGCACCTGGAGACAAGCGTCTTGTTGAAGCCCAGGAAACTATGGAAGCCGCCAAAGAGAAAGCATTCCAGGCCTCACGAATCAGATGCAGCACCAAATCTTTCTCCTGACAGATGCCACTACGATGACTGTCAGCTTGGAGTTGCACGACTGAAATTAACAATCAAAGCAGACAACAGCTAACACGACAAGACGGGCCAGCTTGCAGGCACGATGGTAAGGAAGCGCTGGCCCAGCTTTTCGGGGGAGGCTTCTTAACCCGATGCCCGGCTAAGAACACGACGAGCTCGCCCTGGAGTGTCCCGGAGCGTCCCCGATCGGCGGGGCACAGGCCAGAGGCCCGCACAACTCCTTCGAGAGACGTCCCTATTGGGCCGCCGGGAGAGCAGATATCTGAAGCTGTGCAGCAGCGAGGCGGATGCAGGGCGGCTCCGCTTCAGATCGGGGATCTGGCCTCAGGCCTTCTGTGGAAACTTTCGGAGGGCTCTTTTTCAAAAAGCGGGGTTCACGCTGGAAGCCCTTCCGTGGACTTTGTGCTCCTGCCTCGTCGCCGTCCTTGTGGCCAGGAGCATGCATGGCAACTCCTGCTCACAAGGGGGCTCTCGCCTGAATTGTAGGATTAGGTCGGGCGTGTCCTCCTACAGGCGGAGCTGCAAGAAAAATAACACATACTATGTTGAAGATGCTATGTCCACATACTATGTTTTGACTATGCTTGAAGATTCCTCCTGCAGAGGGGCGTGCCCGACTGAATTATAGGACCATGGGGCACTCGCCTTTCAGGGAGACACTGCCCGCAGGGACGATCCATTCCTGCAGAGTTTCACGAACAATGCGGGGACCTGTTGCAGGCGGGCGTGCTGCAGCATCGCTGATGCATATTTGGCTTCCTCTGGTCCTCCTCTCTTTCCGTGCACAGGGGGGAGATGACATTCCTCCTCCTCCTCCTCCCCCTTTTCCTCCTCCTTCTCCTCCTCCTCCTCCTTCTCACATGCTCCCGCACAGAATGAGGGAGAGAAAGAAAGCGGCAGAGAGAGAGAGAGAGAAAGAAAGATGACTATGCTCCTCCTCCTCCTCCTCCTCCTCCAACTCTTCATGCTCCTCCTCCTCCTCCTCTCCCTTCTCCTTCTCCTCCTCATCCTCCGCCTTCCTGCTTCAACGCTGCCACGAGGAGGACCCCGTTCACGGCTGCTCCGAGGAAAGGGCCAGTTGAACGGCGGCGTCCTCCCCCATCGTCCGTCAAACCCCCCTCCCACCTCCCCCCCGCCCCCCCGGACCCCCGACGTCGAGTTTTTCTGTCCTCCGCATTGGCCCCTTGCGAATTTGTTCGACATCTTTCCCAGGACGGGGCTCTCATCCTCAATTTATATTTTTTCGGGCGGCCCCGGGGCCTCGTCGGGGTCCCTAGAGGCCGAATGTGGCAGAGGACCTCCCGCTGTGACCGCTTGTTTCTCGCAGCGCCAAGAGGTCTGCCTAACTCATCTCTCCCCCGGTCCACAATTGCGTCTCGCCGCCGCTCCTGCTGGAAACCCCCGTAAACGGTCTCCCGCCACCCGGAGGTCGGGTGCCCCCGCGGCATGGTGGCAGGCTCCGGGGGGTAGAACGTCTGCCACGCCTTGGTCCAGAGGGAGAGAGAGCGGAGAGGTCAATGGGGGAGAAGGAGGCGCATCGGGATCGGGAGGAGGAGGAGGAGGAGGAGGAGGAGGAGAAGGAGGAGGAGGAGGAGGAGGAGAAGGGGGAGGAAGAGAAGCAGGAGGAGGAGGAGGAGGAGGAGGAGGACGAGGAGGAAGAGGAGACGGGGGAGGAAGAGGAGGAGGAGGAGAGGAAGGGAGAGGAGGATGAGGAACGCACGCGTCGGAGGCACGCGCGGGTCCCGCCTACCCCATGGCGAGCTGGAAGCCACGGGCGCCTATGCGGCGGAGCTGCTTGAGACGAGCTGCAGCTCAGTGACCCAACCTCTGGCCCTGGTCCGAAGGCGAACACATGGGCTCGACGCGCAGGTCATGAAACATATGGAAGGGTAAACCAATACCAAGAGCAACAATAAGCAAGTTCGGTTTGTGACGCACAAAGCGCCCAAGGGAAGATGGCGGCGCTCTCCTCCCCCGAAGATTCTGAAAAACGGAGGTGTAACACCAAGAGTTGGCTATATCATTCAGAGACCACGGGGCAGTCAAGATAGTGAACAAACGAGTCGGGGCGGGAGGCACGGCAATATACACCGTATAACATATGGCCCCCAAATCGGGCTGGACAGCGCCAGGCGCTGGAATATGCTTCAAGAAGCGAAACAAAAACAGATCACGGAACTAACCTGGACAGGCGCCTCAGATACATCCGAACACTCGCAAGACCATCAGGGCCCGAAGACCCAATAAGCATATTCATGCGATAGAAGAAAGGGTCATGGTATCCCGAGGGGGCCTGAAGACGGAACCACTTCTCGGTTTTGCTCTGGATCCTCGGGGTGCCAGCAACTGGAGCCGACGGAATGGAGCAGCAGCAGCAGCAGATCTGGTCAAAGTTGGCCATGCGAGTGAACATCGGGGTCTGCTCCCACACAGGATGAGAGCACATTGCTGAGTTGCGCTCGATACTCCCGCCCATGGCGTGGATCCGTGTCCGTGCCCGAAAGAAATCGATGGAGTTGCATGCTAGCCTAGATAAGGGCTGCCCGTGAGACTAGGTCCAAGCGCCGTAGCTGGCACGGGGGTCCCACCTCCTCAAGATGCTCAAGCGCGACTGGACTGATGGCATTGTTTGGGCCTCCCACTAGGGCTTGGCCAGCCGCGCGCACACTCTCGCAGACTACGGGCGCAGGCGAGAAGAACAGCAGCACATACTATAGACAACTGAAGGTATTTCGACGGAGGGCGGCGATGCTTTTGGTCAGACCAAGACCCAGGCTCTTGATTCCCCGAGATCTGGACAAGACCTACGGCACCCAGCTTCCCCAAGAAATTCGCTCAAACATCTGGCCGAGGCGACGACCTTGAACTCCGTGGGCAGACCTGCATCAGCATGGAGAGACGCATATTTGGCTGGCGCCAACATCTGCAAGGGGATAATGAGAAGGTCTGCAGCTGCTGCGACACACTGAAAGACCGGGAGCAACAGGGCGAGCGAGCGGCAAACGTCTTGCGCCGCAGCTCCTACGCCGTCGGCACAGGCTGCAAGACCAGATGGCGAACGTGAAAAGCGAGACTCCAGCATTCGGAGGAGGGCAGGGTCCATGCAGAGAGCGAATAGCGAGGATGATAATGGGCAGCCCTGCGCGATACCTCGTCAAACCCACCGCCCACCCCCCTGAGGCCCACAGAAGATGACAGAGACCCAGACGCCCCGACTATGCGCAGCAGCGGCCCGACGGACTTCCCCAGGAAACTTCATTTCTTCACAGCGATGAGAACCATGGCGCGCAGCAGCGTGGGAAAGGCAAGACAAACATCAAGCATGAGGTCACCGGCGCGCTGTTAACCGTCCTGGACAAACGACATTCTACGGCAAGAATGGCGTTGGTAAAGTTACGTCCATGGGTTAACCGCCTTGAGTTGCACGGGGAACTTCTTGAATAACACGAATGACAGGTCGATTGGCAGCACGACTTACGTGCTCATTGTCAGACTTGACCAGGGTAGTCGGTCTGATCTGAGCTGGCGCGCGGAAGACTGCGTCGACGGCGTCGCCAGGGTTATCGCCTTTCGGTAGAACACTGCAGCGCTGTGGTTAAAGTTGTCGGGCAGCGAGCCAGGCTCCAGCAACTCTTGATGCGCGCATAACAGCGCCTCCATCGTCAGAGTGCCTCCTCTCGACCAGGCTGAGTAAGGGGTGCCATCGGGCCCAGGACAGGAATCCCTGGCTATCGAAATGGAATCGCAGAACTCATGAAACTCCATCTCCCAAAACATCAGGGGTGGCACTCCATGGACGGAAGGCAGCAGCTCCCGATGGCGTCGGGTTTCACCCAGGGCGCAGGCGCGCGCGCGCCCCCGGCGCGCAGCAAGCTGTCGAGCGACTGCTCTGGGTTCGGCAAGCTGCAATCCACTCGGATCTGTACGCCTGACAGAGTGGTTCGACGCCGCCGCGACCCCCTGCGCCCAGGTAGGAAGTCAGCTTTGCTATCAGGGACTGCTTATGGTAGATGGGGGAGTGGCAGCTTCGGCATCGCAAAATTGTTATTCGAGCAGAGCCGTCTTCAAACGACTGAATTTCTAGTGAAACCCGAGCAGGTCTGTCCACGCGCGCGACTGGCTGCAAATGTACTCTCCAAGCCCAAGAGAGGCCTGTGAGGCGCGCTGCAGAGAGATAAGGCGACCTTGCCGAAGACATCGCGCAGCGGACAGAGCCCAGTGCACCTTTTCGTCAACCGAGAGGGGGCCTCCAAAGCAGGCAAACTCGACGACGGCTTTGGCGGCAGCCTTGATGTTGACCCGAGCTTCTCCAAGAGCTCAATCGGGGTCGGTGCCCAAGGAGCCGGCGAGCACCGGGGGCCTCTGCAGATGCATGGGGCGCCGCGGGTGCCGCGTAGCCCAAGACAGAATCCGAATTATCCCGGGTCAGGGAACGCGAAGCACAGGAGCAGACGGCGCGTGATCCGAGAGCGGCCAGTCCCCGTTCGAAGCCCAGAGCATCAAGCGATTGGGTTTAGAATCAAGCAAGATGGCGCTGGAAACGTCGTAGTAAATTCTATCTAGTGCCCAGAAGAAGCGATGACAGGGCGCTCGCCAGCATTGCCCATCACGCGATGGGCGAAGCGCCCTTGCTCCACCTCGCGCAGTTGCGAAAACAACTCGCTGTAGGAACCAGAGGGACTGCTGGGGCCATGCTTCACCCACCCCTAACGCATAGCACGACCCTTCCCCTTGAGCATGGAAGATAGAGCCGCCAAACAGGAGCGATGTACAGGGATCCGCTGGTAAAATGTGCCGCTGCATCTGACGATGCTAATCTTTCCTGCACGGAATGTTTTGGTCAAGTTTGATGCGTGTGTGCTCGCGATTCGCATGCTGCCGTATTTGCCGTGGAAGGTGAGGGGGTGCGCGCGGCCAGGCTCAAGCATGCGATGCCAACAAATCTGAAATTGAATCGACTACCACCGGCGGGGCGATCCTCGAGGAACGTACCCTTACCAAGCGCAGTGTTCATGTCTTTTCTTTGGAAAAGTTATAACCATGTTTAGAACAACGACCTTCCCGAATGCCGACCACATCGTGTTTCATGACACGCTGAAGCGAGACTCCAAGGTGTTGCTTCAACATGGAATGGCGAATGCTGAGGCCCCCGAAAAGCGGCCGAGCATTCCATGATGCGATCGAGAAATCGCTGCTGGAATAAACAAGCTCGGCGGGACCGTGGCGAGGACGACCGCCGCGATCCAGAGACGGCGAAGAAGAGCTGGAGCTAGCAAAACTGCACGTGGAGGACGTGAAAGACTAGAAGACAAGGCTGAACCAGCACTAGATGAATCTCAAATTGGCCTCGAAGCCAAACGCCGCCGCATCCCGTCACGAGCAAAAAGGCGCCCGCGCGAGCGGCAACAGTCAGCCCCAGGCTTCTGAACAGACGTGTTTGAGCAAAAGAGATCCCTATTCGAGAGGCCCTGACGGTCGTCTGCTTTGTGCTAATCTGCAAGCTCTCGAGCGCCGTAACAATGTCTGGCTGGATAGTGGATGACGTATCAGGATTCTCGGCCAGAGCGCACAAGATCGTGACCTCGTCGTGCCTGGTAAAGAACAGGATGCCCTTAGGCGATTTCTTGGGCTGCAAAGTGCTGCGAAATGCCCTGCCACACACGCCCGAGGATGATACTACGGCGGCGAAAGTCAGGGGTCGCGTCGCGCCGCGCACAGAACTGGGTCCATTGGCGGAGGGAAACGGTAAGCCGTTTGTCTTGCCGAACTCAAGACAAGCATTGGCGTCGGTGGCATTCGCGAAGGAGATTCTGAACTGCTCTATTGTGATTGCGCGCCTTCACTTCAGTAGGCGGCTTGATGTGCGAGGGCAAGTGCGGGGTCACCTGAGAGTTCATGTAGTTGGTCATGGCACGACTTGTAACCCCCGGTCCAGATCTTGCATGGGGTCAGCGCCATCCTCGTAGCTGCCACCACAAGTAAATCTGCCAGAATCAGAAGAGGGAGCCTTGCCCTTGGACCGGCGAGCAACAGTTGGTAACGAACTGCGGCTACTGGACGAACCGACGGAGCTCTGCACCTCCAGAGTATTGGCCTCCACTTTTACCAACAGGGCCTTCCCTGTATCTTCGTCAAGGCCAGTACCCATCTGGCTCTCGACGGTGGCCATGCGGTCACACAGCTTGATGTAAATACGTTCGTGCTTATCGATGGACTCATGCACGGACGAGATATCACTCTCCGTGGCCATGCTAGCTGCTAGCTTCCATGCGACTGAAAGTTGCCAAAGTACCTTCGCCACCTTCGTCGGTACGAGGTCTCACTCGCCCTTCCCCAGGCCTTCGGCACTAGCAACATCATCAGTACCACACGAGGCTCCAGACGGAACGGCAGCGCAACCAGCGGGCGAACCAGCAGGAGCGGCGCCGGCAGGAACGACCTCCAAGGCAAAAAAAAAAGTATGGGAAATGTCCGCCTGGGCACGACACCCAGATTATCCTCTCCAGACAGCTGCCCGTTCAGAACGCTGCCTGTCAGCGAACACATTGAGCCAAAATGGCTACGGAAGGAGGATGAGGAGGAGAATGAGGAGGAGGAGAAGGAGGAGGAGAAGGAGGTCAAAGAGGGAAAACAATTGATTCAGGGACAAGGGGACGAGGGGAGCAGGAGCAGGAGGAGGAGGCGGGGGAGGATATCAGCTAGGCGGGTGATAGAGTACGCGCGTGGAGGAGTGAAAACGCCGAGGAGAAGGAAGAGGAGGAGGAGGAGGAGGAGAAGGAGGGGGAGGACGAGGTAATGATGCCTGGGGAGGAGCCAGCTGAGGTATGAACAAGTCATGTGGAGGAGGCAGGGGGTGAGGAGGAGGATGCGGCTGAGGAGGAGAATCAAGATAACAGGGAGGAGACAGGTGGAGCAGGCGGAAGAAGCAAAGGAAGGGACGCCCAGGAGGAGGCCGAGCAAGAGAAGGACAGAAGAGAATCGAGGAGAAACGGTCACCGCCAACACGCCTCGGCGGGACCGCCGGACTTCGACTCCTGGAACCACTTGCCGGGCACCTGAGAATCTTTTGACCGATCCCAATCACCACTGACATGGGCCTTGGTACCACTGGCCGACCTACCCCCCAGGTGGGGGTGTATGCTGCTCCCGTTGGGTTTCGAGGAAGCTATCCCCACCTGGGCGGGAGACCTGGTGGGACTGAGAGATATCATCCCAGACCCCCGATGTCATTTATTTCGCGTGATCCCCTGGAAGTCTCGACCCATTTCCCAGGACCGGCTTTTCATCCTGAATAGTTTGTTGAAGATCCAGGGTGCCCAGCGAAGGCCCCCAAAGGCCGAAGAGTGTCGCGCCGAGGCGCGGTGGGCCCAAACCAGCGGTGCGACACGCTATGCGACAATTCCCGACCGTCAATTAGCTAGGTTAGGCCAGAGATGGCCCACCCTGGCATCCACTTCCAACCCCCAATCCCATGAGCAGACCCCGCGGTGATCTAAGTAGAGTTCGCAATTGTCGGCCATATGCAGGAGTGACCCTGGGCTTGGATTGCTCCCATCGTACGTAAGGACCACATCCCAGAAATAATTTCGAGCGCCGATCGAAGTATCGAAGCAGTGTCGAACGAGTACCGCCTCCCAGGGCCCGACACGTGACAACCCATCAGTTTCGGCATTTTCTTGGTGCTCGAAACTCTTCCTGGTGATCAGAACTACAATAGGTTGGAACATGATTCGGCGGTGGACGAACCTCCCTGGAGTAAACCCCCCCGTAGTGAAAACGGCCTGGGACCGAAACCGACGGACCTGGACCCGCAAAACTGACGGCCGCGACGCCCTCTCACGAACCGAATACGGCCAATTCCTTAATCTACGGGTCAGGGTAGAAGGTCAATCCACCTCCGAATCATAACCCTGGACACGAGTGACCTTTGGTGCGCGCCTTTCGGGGGAGCGCGGGGGGGGGGGCCAAACCAGAGGGCGCACGCCGCTGCTATCGTATCCCTGTCTGCCACATGGGGGCCCCAGTGTCTCTGAGATCCTGGCGCTGCCTTTTTTTGCAACGGGCAATTTCGCCCCATTTCGGGCCTCGGGACCCTCACAGATCGATCCGGCTCGAAGTGTGACGCAGAAAAGATGGGGCCCGGGGCTCCAGTGGTGATCTTCTGCGATGCTGCACTTTTTTGCAGCGTCGGCTCTCAGGGTGCCCGCTCAGGAGGAGGAGGAGGAGGAGGAGGAGGAGGAGGAGGAGGAGGAGGAGGAGGTGAGGAGAGGAGGAGGGGGGTGGGTGAGGAGGAGGAGGAGGAGGAGGAGGAGGAGGAGGAGGAGGAGGAGGAGCTCCTGCCAAGGGTGCCCGCACCAAACGTCACTCCGGCCAAAGGGCCGTTCCTGCGCGAAGCCGAACGATTGGGCCGCGGAGCACCGGCGTTGGCCCCAGGGGCGGCACGTGCCCCGCGAGGTCCCCGCCCGGCGCCCAGGCGCCGGAGCCCCGGCCCGGGGGCAGGAGCTCGCCGTCCGCGTCGTAGGTCGACTCGCCCTCGGAGAACGCCTGCGCATGTGCAGAGGGCGCCCCTTTCGGGGATGGACAGACCTCCCTTTAGTAAAAAGACAGGAGGAGGAGGAGGAGGAGGAGGAGGAGGAGGAGGAGGAGGAGGAGGAGGAGGAGGAGGAGGAAGGGGAGAAGGAGGAGGAGGAGGAGGAGGAGAAGAAGGAGGAGGAGGAGGAGGAGGAGGAGGAGGAGAGGGAGGAGGAGGAGGAAGGGGAGGAGGAGGAGGAGGAGGAGGAGAAGGAGGAGGAGGAGGGGGAGGAGGAGGACCCCAGACGAGCCCCTACGACTGCACTACGGGATCCTCCCGGGAGGGGATGGACAGCGCTCTCTCGAGAACCGAAAACGGACAATTCACTAATCGACGTGTCACTGTTGGGGGTTCTGTCCACCCCCGACCCTTACTGCTCCAAAGCCCTGATTAATCGTCCCCCGGGTCTGGTTTTTGAAGGCGACTTTTTCGTAACTGGGGGGGGTCCGGTTGATTCAGGCGCCCCGTCGAAGAGGGGGGTCCAGAATATCAGGTCGCATTTGGAGGGGATCCAGCTGTTTTGGGGGGGGTCGGTTCATAAGCCAGTCGGAGTACCCAACCAGATCCCCGACAACATGGTCACCGCTTTCTTATTTGGCTTTTCGACATTGGGCGGGAAGAAGGGGGGACGGGGTGGTCTGGCTCCAGACCTCTACTTAATGCGACTGTTTGCTGCGTCCTATGGGGGAGACTCCGCATTCTCGGGGAGGGGGGGGGAGGGGGGGTGCGAAGGCCCGCGCCGATCGGCAAAACAACGATTAGGAAAACGATCACATGTTTTTCCGTCAGCCGGGGAATTGTCCTCCGTTTCGGCCCTCGGGAACAGTGTTCCGGCCCCGCGACCGTCAGAAACGGATGGGGGGCGCAATGCTGTACTCCAAGGTCGGGCATCTCCTCCTACAGGCAGATGTTCGAAGACAACTGAAATATAGTCAGAAAATAAGCAACAACAAATCAGAAATAGTAGAACAATCGTCACCAGACTATTGTTAAACCATTCTCGAATATTCCCCCTGTAGAGGGACACGCCCGACTTAATATTACAACGAGGAGGAATCGGTCGGGACATTTGAGGCCGCGGACTGGACCCCCCTCGCGTTGTCAATAATGGCGACGGGAAGCTGTTTTTTAGTTTTTATGTGTTCGGGCTTATGGTGGCCCTCCCCAGACCGCCTCGACCATGACAAAATCACGACGGGAGGTTTTCTCTATTTTCGGGGTCTGGGGGCCCGTACTGGGCCTCGGGACCGTCACCAAAACAACGCAGGATGAAAAGATGGTCGCGGGGAATGGGTCGGGACCTCCTTGGGGTCCACGATATGGAAGAATAATGACGTCGGGGGCCAGCAGTGGTTTCTTGACGGTCCCGAGAGCCTGTGAGGGCCCCCAGAGGCAGGAAGCAGTAACAAGCAAAAACAGATATGGTTGTGATTGCTGCATGACTCGAAGAGATCTGGGTCGCTGGGCTCCCGGACCGTGAAATAAATCTGGATGACAAACTTGTCCTGGGAAGGCGACGAGACCTCCGGCGGCTCGCGTGATGAAGAGAAATGGCATCAGGGTTCTGGGTATGTTGCCCCCATAATACTAAGGAGCCCATTCCAGAAACAAATCGAGCACCCCGAAACGTGTCGAAACAGAGTCTGCCCGACACGCTGGCGAGGTGCCGAACGAATGTCGCCTTCCAAGGCCCAACACGTGATGACCGTCCAATTTCGATATTTCCTTGGTGCTCGAAATCCTGTCTGCTGATCAAGGCTATAGGATGGAACATCATAAGTTTTGGCCACCACGACGCCCGGTCAGGGCCATCGTCCCAGGCAGGCACCTGCTAGTGCTGGCAGGGTCAATACAGTCAGCGCGTACAGTAAGGATGCGCGATGAGGATGCAAGGGCGTTGGGCGCCCATGCCGAGGCTCCTCGAGCTGGGCTGGCCATCGACAGTGGTTGAGGATACACTGAAGATGAGCGAAGAGGCAAGGATGTCATGGTACCCTTGGGGAGTCGATCATCCTTACTATCGGGGTTGACTTTGCACACCCAATGGAAGGCCCAGAGATGGCCCTGGCCGGGCATGATGCTGGAGTTCTGGTGGCTTCTGCGGTCGCCTGGAACCAGCCCGCCTCCATGGGGGCGCCGCTGCGCGCCCTGGTCACAACCTGGAGGCCTCCTTAAACCTCCTCCTCCTCCTCCTCCTCCTTCTCCTTCTCCTCCTCCTCCTCCTCCGCCGCCTCCTCCTCCTCCTCCTCGCACCTCCTCCTCCTCCTCGCTCCTCGCTCTTCGCTCCTCGCTCTTCCGTCATCCTGGCTCGCTCAGCCACACCCTCGTCCTTTCGCCTGCTGCTGCGCTCCTCCGCCTGGCAAGGGCAGCGTCGGGCCCCGAGATGGCAGCGCATCGCCGATAGATCCAAATCTGGCCGGCTCTGGGAAGTCTTGGATGCGGGGGGCCATCACTTTCTTGCGAGCAGCCCTTCCGCCGGCGGAGAGCCGCCCTCGTTTCGCTCCCGCGGGTCCTGTGTCGCCGTCGGCATCCTGCCGGAAGCGAGACGTTTACTTCCCCATCCCTCGAACGCCCCTTTGAGTTAGCCTGGACGCCCGTCAGATTGGTCTTTTCCACCTGCGGGCCCATGAGATCCGCCCCCCCCCCCCCCTTCTGGCGGGCCCTCCGAGATCCCGGCCCCTCCCTAGGGGCGAATAGTTCCTCCGAGATCTCTGCTGTTGTGTGGTCCATGGGCCCAGAAGCGGCGCCCTGAGACGGAACCAACAAAAAAAAGGCCGGCTGGGACCGGAGCAGCACCAGGGCGAGGCCTGGAAGCCTCGGGCCGGGCGAAAGGGGGGGATAGGGAAAGGGGGGGTTACGAAATTTGCTGCATGCAGCTGGTTTCGGCCCCACCCAGGGGCCCATTCCTCGATACATGGCCGCCTCCGGCGCCGGGAGGCGCCGGGAAAATCAGCTACGTGAGCTGATTCTCAAACCCCCCCTTTGCTATCCCCCCCTTTCGCCCGGTCCGGAAGCCACGAGGACCTCGAGGTGAGGCCGCGGAGAGGCGTGCGGACCCCCCCGGAGGCCCAGGAGGATGCAGAGACGCCCCCCAGCCTTGGGGCCTCGACCCTGGGACGGGCTCGAAGTGTACGCCAGGACGCCTGGTCGGGCAAGGAGCTCGATGCATGCACATCTCAGCTCCCCAGCCTGCGGGACGCCGTTCTCGTGATTTTTGTTGCCCCGACGTCGACCGCCAGAGGTCTCGACCCATTCCCCAGGACATGCGACTCACCGTGGGCAAGTAGTGGAGCAGAGTCCGATTCTTCGAAGAGGAGATCGACTGCAACGTTGATTTGCCCCAGAAGTGATTGTCCTGTCGATCTTACAATGCATATGCATATGTCCCTAGATCCACGGGACACTCTACGTATTTCCGCGTGTTCGACATACAAATCAGTGCTGAGGTAAACGAATTCTTCAGCTGATCCCATCCTTTCGGTGGCAACTCATGGGAGCCTCCCATACCATCTTGTCGGCTCTTGCGAATCGACGCTAGTGGATGCTACATCGACGCTACGCAAGCGTCGTTAAATCGACGCTAATCGGCGCTCACCGACGCTAAGTCGGCGCTATTTCATCGACTCCCAGACGCTAGTCGACGCTAACAGACGGTATACCAGGCTCCCATGCTTTGCCACCGAACCTTCCCGACATTCACCTCCCCTGCCCCTTCCAGTCTTAGGTCGGGCCTGCCCCCCTACAAGGGGGATGTTGGGCGGAACATCAAACATGCGTTTTAAACATACCCCCTAAATGCTTGAAAATAGTCGAACAGTAGTCCCCAGACTATTTCTGTTTATGACTTGTTTTGAATGTCCATCCGGCAGGGGGACAGGCCCGACCGAATCCCAGTCGCTCGCTCCTCGCATCAGACGAGTCCCCCTCCCCCCTCCCCTGCCCCTCCCAGTCGCCGGCTTCTCCTTTGTCTCAGCCAGGAGGAGGAGGAGGAGGAGGAGGAGGAGGAGGAGGAGGAGGAGGCCTGCTGGAGCGAGGCATGCGCCCCATTTGGGGGGGGGGGAGGGCTGCAGAGGGCGGGGCGGGGGCCCACGCCCCCGCCGCAAATAACAGCAGCGAACAAAAAAACCGTCGCGATATCGTGGTGCGACGCGAGGAGGCCCGGGAACTCATCTTCGGCGGGGAGCGAGCGGGCGGGGAGGGAGAAGGAGACGGCCTCTCAGATCAGGGGGGCGTAAGACCCGGGTACAGGGGACTCGGAAATCCCCGACGAGGTCGTCAAAAAAATGACGAGGCCGAGCCTGCATTTTGACGAGGCCTCCCGCTGCAGACATCCCACAAAACTCCTACTCGTCAAAATCCGAGGCGCGGTCGTCAAAAAGCGATGGCGAACCCGAGTCCTGGCAAACCCGGGTCTTACGCCCCCCCGATCAGAGGGCGACAGGGTTTCTCAGGAGCCCTCGCGCCTTCTGAAGAGTGTTCGGCGTCTCCGGAGAGGGCTCGGGCAGAGGCTTCTCACAGAAGGCCGGGGGACTTCCGAGCCTTCTGAGGGCTGAGGGGGAACGATAGGCGGGTAGTACTGGCATAGGGGGGATGCATCGACCTGGAATCGGCGATACATCGCCGATAGATGGGCGATATGCGTCTGATAGTGAGTCCGCACCTTGCTGGGCAGATTGGGGCTATCGGGCCCCTATCGGCGATCAATGGGCGATTGGGGGTCGATGCATCCCCCCCATGCCTATCCCCCCCTATCGTTGCCCCTGAGAGGAGGCCCGCCCCTTCTCACTTTCAGCCCGGGCGCGCCGCCGATTGTCACGACGCGAGGAGAGCTGGGAACTCCTTTGCCGCCCAGGCGCCTGTGGTGCAGTGCACGTGGAGCCCCCTTCCGAAACGCCCCCCACGGCTTGCTGCGGGCGAGCAGCATGTCTGCACCCGCGGCCCCTGCGGGCTAGGTGCATGGGCCGCGACCCCCCGGATACGGGGCGTTTCTGTCGCGGATGCCGCGCGCGGAACGCAGTTGCCAGAGGAAGAGAAAAACGCCATCAACATAAACTTCTGGCGCTCCGCGCGGAGCGCCAACATGTTATGTGTTTGTTCATGGCGCGTGTTCTCTTCGAATATGTGCGACCGCGTATTCGCGGGACCCCGCCCGAGAATCCAGACCACGAGGGCGCGGATACCGACATCTGTTCGCCGCTCGTGGGATACTCTGGGAGGATCGGGTCGGGCATGCATGCCCTCTCACATGCGGAGCTCGGGCGGACGACTTCAAAAGAGTTAAAACAGCACTCAACAATGGTCAGACATACTCAAAAAACATACCCCGAATATGTTTGACATAGTTCCTCCTCAAAAAACATACTCAAAAACATACCTCAACAAACATGCTCAAAAAACATACTCAAAAAACATACCCCGAATCTGTTTGGCATAGTTTCGATTCTTCCTCCCGTAGAGGGGCATGCCCGACGTGCCGGGAGGCCGCGGGCCGCCCCCCCCGTGCCGCTCGCGGCCAGACGACGCGGCGTGCACCACGAGCCTCTCCGAAGCGCCCCCCCACGGCCAGCAAAACGGGCATCCTCCTTCCTCCGCTTTTCCTCCCCCCCCCCTCCTGGCCAGCCTCCTCCCCGCCCCCCCTCCTCCTCCCCCTCCTCCTCTTCCTCCTCCTCCTCCTCCTCCTCCTCCTGCTCCACCCCGTCCCCCTCCCTTTCCATCTCCCCCTCCCCCTCTTCCTCCTCCTCTTCCTTCTCCTCCTCCACCTCCTCCTTCTGCTCCTCCTCCTCCTCTTCCTGCTCCTCC